TTAAAAAAAAGCTGCTTCCCAGTAGAAAAAAGGCTTAAGTTGGATGTTCTCCTGAATTAAAATAAAAGCACAAGTAGGAGACTAAATGGAAATTAAGTTAACAGCTTAATTATATTGGAAGGATGGGGGAACCACCTCAATTAAGACCATTTTGGTCAAAGTGAGAGAAAAGAAAATATCCTTTACTATTTTCTCATACGTCTAATTCAGAGAGAAATATGTTTTTGTTTAGATTTTTAAATAAAGATGACTGAATTATAAATAAGATATACAGGGTCAGAAAGAATAAGTCCCAGTGTAAATGGAAATACAGTTAAAAAAAAATCCTTGGGGCTGGCGCAATAGCACAGCAGGTAGGTCATCTGCCTTTCACACGGCTGACCCAGATTCGATTCCCAGCATCCCATATGGTCCCCCAGGCACCGCCAGGAGTAATTCCTGAGTGCAAATCCAGGAGTAACCCGTGTGTATCACTGGGTGTGACCCAAAAAGCAATAAATAAATAAATAAATAAAAATAAATGAAAAAACAAACAACCCTTAAAGTGACACTTTAATATATATTGAGGAAAATCAATAAAAAATTTTTGGAAATGATTCTTGAGCAGTTTGAAAACCCACACTATGTAAACATAAATGGGAATGGAAGTCTAGGATGTTGTATATAATAGAATATTCATTAAATTTTATTCTTATGAGTTAAGGTAGCACAGCGGTAGGGTGTTTGCCTTGCGCGCAGCTAGCCCAGTCGAGCCGGGTTCGATTTCTCCACCCCTCTCGGAGAGCCCAGCAAGCTACCAAGAGTATCTCGTCTGCACGGCAAAGCCTGGCAAGCTCCCCATGACGTATTCGATCTGCCAAACACAGTAACAAGTCCCAAAATGGAGACGTTACTGGGCCCGCTCGAGCAAATTGCTGAACAATGGGAGGAAAGTGACAGTAACAGAGACAGATAACTTGATTATAATAGTGTTAACTTTCATGATATTGTTGAAGCTACTGCAACTTGATCACTTTATAATGTTCCAGACACTTGTCTTCATTTTTTGCACCACATCTAGTCCATACCTTCTTCCTCTCCTTCCCTTTTTCTGCACTACTAAGTAATAAAAGTTTTGCAGCAAAAGTCACAGATTTATCAACATTTGATATTCTCTACTTCATTGTTTCTCCATATACCACAGGTGAGTGAAAGCATCCTATATATTTCTTCTCCCCCTGACTTATTTCACTTAACATGATACCTCCTAGTTCCACCCATTTTGCAGCAAGCTGCAAACAGCAATCATCTTTTCTTACAATCACATAGTATTCCAATTTTGGTTTCTCAATTCTATTCCAGTGGTGTGAGAGTCTATCTTTATTACAGTACCTGTTTTGATTACTTTAGATTTATCTTGTTCTTTAAAATCAGGGTCTTTAAAACCACCAGTCTACTTTTCTTTATATTAAATAGGCTACCTCCATGGCCTTCTGTGTAATCAGATTTCTAAAAGGAAGCATCTTTGGCCTTCTTATAAGCAGGTTTCTGAAAGAAAACAAGGTTTTTTTTCTCACTATCTTTGTAACTAAATAAAATTCACAAATATAACCTGGCCATAACAGATAAAAATGAAATATTGTGGGGCCACAGAGATAGTACTGAAGGCAGGACATTTACCTTGCACACAGTTGACTGGGGTTTTATCTCTAGCATGTCATATGGTTGCCCAAGCCTGGCAGGAGTGATTCCTGAAAGCAGAACCAGGACCAGGACCTTAACACTTCTAGGTGTGGCCCAAAAATACCTCCTCTAAAAAAAAGGAATGTAATGACTAAACCACTTTGGTTATAAAAGAGGAAAGAAAGAAAGAAAGAAAGAAAGAAAGAAAGAAAGAAAGAAAGGAAGGAAGGAAGGAAGGAAGGAAGGAAGGAAGGAAGGAAGGAAGGAAGGGAAATTTGAAAGAATAAGAATCAGTGATTCTACATACTCAAAGTGTTAGAAAATTTAAATCTGAAGAGAGATTAGATTTTGAAGATTAATACTTAAGAAAGACACATTATCCTCAGTTGGTTCCAGAATATCTCAAAATTATTCAGAGTTCAGGAATCACTTCAATCTGAAATCATTGGAATGTCCTTATGTACCTGAGTTAAGCATGTATCAAAGGAAAGGACAAACAATTCCAAGTCAGGATTCAAATGTGTAAGGAATTCTACAGGTAGGAAAATACAACTGCTATGATTTTGAATAAATGTTTTGGGATATTTCTAGGAATAGAAAATTGTAGCAAAAGTAATGATGAAAAGAGATTGATATAGGAAAACTTAAGAATAAAGTTTTAATTTAATGCATTATAATTAAGTTATATCATTTAAAGAGGCATTTATCTTACTCTTTTCAAATAAAAGAAAGTAAATGCTGTGAACAGATGGACTCATAACCAATTTTGTATTAGATTGCTAGAAAAAAGTATTAAAAGTAATATTAGTATCAAATGTGCTGATAGATTTAGAGCATATTAAGAAAGGAAGAGGCCCTCCAGGGTTCAATCATTGGCATACTTTATGGTCCCTCAAGCACTGCCAGTAGTGGTTCCTGACTGCAGATAGGAATAAATCCTGAGCAATGCTCAGTGTGGTTTAAACACAAAACAAAGAAAGAAATGAATAAAAGTAATGTCTATTTAGCAAGAGTGATATACTTCTGGGCTGTGGCGATAGCACAGCAGTAGGGCATTTGGCTTGCGAGCAGCCAGCCTGGCCGAGCCAGGTTCAATTCCTCTGCCCTTCTCGGAGAGTCCAGCAAGCTACGGAGAGTATCTCACCTGCACAGCAAAGCCTGGCAAGCTACTCGTGATGTATTCAATATGCCAAACACAGTAACAACAAATCTCACAATGGAGATGTTACTGGGTCTGCTTGAGCAAACAGCTGAACAACGGGAGGAGAGTGACAGTGGCAGTGATATACTTCTAAATGATTTGTCCATAGTATGAGGGATTTGCAACATTTTTAAACTTAATGCAAACTACTCTGAAGAAGCAGGAGGGTACGCATATACTTTGTTTGGTGTTGAGGGTCAATATTTTCTAGGCATATATGTTCTGAGAGAATATTTTTGAACTACAGTTTTATATTGCACAAGCATGGACATTCTTGTGTGACTGGTTAGCGTATAAGAAAATCTTATCTCTTATACATGTCTGCCATATTTCACTGATGTTTGTAGTATTTGTAACAGTGTTTTTATAGTATTTCTAAAAATAGGTTTTTTGCTTATTTTCCTAATGCCTTAAATGTTATCAAAAGCCGGTCATTGATTGATTGTTGAGTGAATCAGTAAAAAAGTACCCTGAAAAAGTAGAATCCTAAAATTAGGCAATATTTTAATTTCAACATGTCAAAACTCACAGGATCAGACCGGATAGAGCTCTATCTATCTAAACTATATTATCATCTGTCTATGAAGAAAATCAGAAAACAATACAAGCTAACTTCGAAGATAAGCAATTTTTTCAAGAATAGAAATTTTGGAGGTGATTTAATAGATAGACTAGATGTGTAACTATTTCTATATATATTTCTATATATAATTATATATGCATATATAGACTTAAGCAGCAAATAAATATTTTCTGAATAAGATGTTATCAAACAGAGCAACATTGATTTCCTCAGTTTTGAAGGGGAGATGACATGTTTAATAAAATTATTATCTATAATTTGATTTCAGCAATTTTTTAATAATTGGTAAATTACTATTCCTCAATATTCAGAAATACTTGATTACTTGTGTCATTATGTAGGATTTTATACTATTATTTGATCTCTATAATTAGTACTATAAACTATTGCATGCTACGTTGCTGTTATGTAAGATGAAAAATAGAATACCAGGCAGAACTGTGGCATCTGATTCATTTTATATTTCAGAAGACAACAGTTGTATTAAATCCTACGGGATTCTGAGGTAAGTAATTTATAGTAGACTGTGTAATAATCTCACTGATATGGGACAGAATTCTTGGTAAGTTTTTATTTCCCTTGAGTTGTACAAGTTCAGGTTGGCATTAGATTGGCTATTTTGCAAAACTAATAAAAAGATAAAAAGAAAAAAAATCAATTTTCACCTGATTTTTCAACATCTCTTTTTCATCTCCTTAGTCAATATTCAATTTCTTATTTTCTTTGGAGGGCATAATAAAGTAAATAATATCAGATTTTAAAATGCTTGGTTATTCTCAAGTTTTGTAAGAACATATAAAAGCAAAAACTACATATACTGAAAACATCAAGAGACTACATCCACTGAACAATACATCTATTTACTGCAGTGAAGTCATGTATGGTGGTTAAATCTGACGTTTTTTTTCCCTCTTTTTCTTAATCACACTTTTTGTCCCTTTAATTGTCTTTCTTTTATATCTTAGAACAAGTTAACCTCACTTTTAGGAAAACTGTTCTCAAACTTTTTGGCAATAATTATGTAAGTTCAAATCAAAAGCAAAAGATAAAAAGCTTACTTAGATTTTTAACTAAAATTACCAATGACACACACCAATATTACTTAGGAGTCTTTATTTATTAAGTCAGATGTGTAAAAGTTAATTTTGACACTATTAAACCATATATTTTTGTGCATTTATAATATATTACAATATATTCTCCACATCTAATACAGTTCTTCTAAACTTTATTGAAATAAAATGAGATATTTCAAGGACTAATAATTTTGTTATTTGTGTTTTTACCAAATAATTGGGCTGGAGCAATAGCACAGTGGGTAGGGCATTTGCCTTGTATGCAGCTGGATTGGATTCCTCCACCCCTCTCAGAAAGGCCTAGCAAGCTACCGATAGTGTCTTGCCTGAACAGCAAAGCCTGGCAAGCTACCCATATTTGATATGTCAAAAACAGTAACAACAAGTCTCACAATTTGTTGTGAGACGTTACTGGTGCCCAGTCGAACAAATTGATGAACAACGGGAGGACATTGCTACAGTGCAGTGCTACCCAGACAGCCTCTTGGCATTTACTCTGAGTTTTTTCTTCACACCATTTGTACAGAAAGAGGAAGTCAAGTAAGCATGTCCCATATATACCTTAACTTAGACCTTAAGTCTAGTTTATATGGTGAATAGGAGAACATGAGGAAAAACAAAAGGAAAAATCAAGACAAATTTTTGTATATGTTTGGCCACACTCATTGAGGTCAAGATAACTCCTGCTTCTATTCTCAGAGATCAGTCCTGGGAATGCTCATGTCTTCGATCGGGGTTAACTGAATGCTAAGCAAGCACCTTAACACCAATAATGTTTCTCTGGTCCTCTAAATAAAACTGTATACTCTATTCACTACATTTTTATATAAAATTTAATTTTTTTCCCAAGCTTATTTTTGCATAAATTTTCTTTGCTTCTTCAATAATGATTGTGTATTGCCTATTTCTTTCAAATGGGTAAAATGGGATGTTTTACCATCCCATCTAAACTGGGGTGATCAACAAGTTTGTTTTCAAAATAAGACAAAACCTGTTATAGAGTAAAGGATATTTCATATAGTTATGAGACAATTTACCAGCGTATATGTCAGTTCAAACTACAAGAAGCCTGAATCCAAATCAGTAAAAGGAGAATAATAAGATAGAGCAGAAAAAATGAAATAGAAATTTTAAAAGACAATACAGAAGAGCTACAAAACCAAGAACTGATTATTTATAAAAATAAATAAATCTAGAAGAAAAAGAAATAAAAAATGCAATCACATGAATAGTCATATTAAATAAAATTAAATACACACTAATTAACCAAGGAATTGAAGATTTGTACTACAAAAATGCTGTCAATGTTTTTGTTTTGTTTTGTTTTGTTTTGTTTTTTAATGAAGACATAAGGAAACATAGGTTTTTCCATGATCATACATTGGAACTACCAACATTGCTAAAGTAGCTGAATTCTCCAAATAATAGAGATTCGTAGAAATAGCTTTCAAACTTTCAAAGACTTCTATCAGACAGAACAAATGTAACAGAAATTTGTGTGGAACTGAAAAAAAGAATACAGGAAGCATCAAATTCACTACCTCAAACTATGCTACAAACTATGGTAAGCAACAAGTGTAGCATTAGAATATCTTGACAAATAGGCCAGTGGAATAAAATTACAGACAGTTGATGAAAAAAAGAGTCACTTAGAATCTAATCACAGAACTTAGTTTTTCAAGGTGGGAAGGGAATTGGCTGAAAGAATACAGTGCACTATGACTAAGGTTTATCAGCAATTTGGTGGTGAGTATAATTGGTAACCGTGTATCCTTAGAGCAAACACACACACACACACACACACACACGCACACACAAACACACACACACACACGAAAAATATATGTAGACTTATATTTTGGTGAAGCAAAGTAGAGTTTTAGAATCTTATTTAAAAGATGTGAAGGGGTGGGCTGGAAGATATTACAGTGGGTAGGGCGTTTGCCTTGCACAGGGCCAACCGGGTTCAATTCCCAGCGTCCCATATAGTCCCCTGAGCACCGCCAGGAGTAATTCCTGAATGCAAAGCCAGGAGTAACCCTTGTGCATTGTCAAGTGTGACCCAGAAAAAAAAAAGATGTGAGGGGAGAAAGAGGGAGAATTATGTGTTCGAGAGAGAACACAGCCTTTTCCAGAGTAGAAATAAGCAAACAAAGAAATAGGAATGAGCAAGGGAAACATGTGTTCAAGAGTAAACATGGGCCTGAAGAGCAAGATGAAAACATATTTTTTGAAGTAAAAAAACAATATTTGTTACATTTATTTTGAAGGGGAAGTTCTAAATTAATAAAAAAATTATAAATAAATCAGTATCACAAGGTCATTTTTTTGTTTGTTTGCTATTGCTGTGTGATTCTACAGATACTTTAAAGTGTAATCCAGTGCATATGCTGCCTGAACCCGTGTGCTGCTTACGCCCACGTGGCAGAGCACATGTGATGCCCGCATCTCCCCTCTTGAGATGTGTACTTTCATGCTTTCATGTCTAATGTTAGGATGTGTATAGGTGCTCTCTCTCTGCTCTTGGAGAAGCCTGTGTTCTCTCTTGAGTACAATACTCTCTCATTCTCTCCCCCTTCACACTTTAAAAATCCTCCAAATAAAATCTATTTATTTTAAAATAAATAAATAAATAAATAAAGTGTAATCCAAACATGTTGAATTTCCAGAAACTATCTAAATTATCCATGTTAATTTATTGAAAATTAAAATATAAAGTTGAAATATAAATAAAATAACTCAATATTGGAGATGGTTTTGCTAAGTCATAGAATCTAAGTAAAGTAATGTTTTAATTTGTTGATACCAGAATTTCTTTAAAGTGCTGCTATAATTTATTTTTAAATTTTGAAAGTTTTTCTTAGCCACACTTATTGGTGCTTTAAAAACCACATGTGGGGGGGTATGGTGCCTCCAGCAAGTCAATCTGTACTTGTGAGGTGAGTGCATCAGCAGCCTGATGGCAACGTCAGACTTTCAGATACCCCAAAATTGCTGTTGTGCCTTTGGCCAGACCCCAAAAACGTGGTGCAAAGTTTACCAAGAAAGTAAACGGCCAAAAATTAGGTATGTGGGAGACACACCCACAAACCACCTCTGGCTCAGCTATATAATTGGAGGCATGGCCTCTCTGGTTCCTGATCAAACTGCTTAATGGCCATGATCCCAGAGTCTCAGAAACAAATCTCGGAACCCAAAGGCTTGTGGCAGAAATGCATCCTGTTCCTGGAGTAGGTTACTGGCCCCTGGGCCACTCCAGGTGGGAATAGGTTTTGTGCCTTGGCCTGTTCCCCCTGGTGACCTGGTGACCACCATCCTCCAGAGGCCACTGGACAGTCAGGTTTGGGCCTGCAGTGAGGAGACACACGGGGCCTCACCACATGGGGGGTGGAGACGACTCTTTCTCCCCATCCCAAAGAGACCACGAGTCACCGCCTACAAACGGCCTCTCTGGCTCCTGATCAAGCTGATTAATAGCCATGATACCGGAGACTCAGAAACAAATCTTGAAACCCAGTGGCTTTTGGCAGAAATGCATCTGGACTGCATACAGGGTAGCTGCCGGCTCAGAGCTCCTTGGAAAGCCAGGTATGAGCCGGCGGTGATGGGGCAACTGCAGTCTCATGGGAAGGGGGGGCGATATCAGCTCGTCCTTCATGCCCTACTGAGGTTGCAAGTTGCCCCCACAAGTGGCTCTTTGGCACGGCCATGGCTCCAGAGGCAAAAGGACTTAATCCAGAGCCCGGAAGCTTGCGGCAGAAAAGTGAATGGACCATGCGTTAAACTACAGCTCAATGCCTCCCCGGGAGGGAAAGGGTGTTGCTCCCTTCCACCTTTCCCCCCGCTGGCAGCAAGGTGGCCGCCACCTCAGAGCGTATTGGAAAGCCAGGTATGAGCTGGCGGTGACGTGGCAACTGCAGTCTCATGGGAAGGGGGCTGGTACTGGCACGTCCTTCATGAGTTCATGAGTTGCCCCTCACAAGCAGCTCTCTGGCACGGCCATGGCTCTAGAGGCAAAAGGACTTAGTCCAGAGTCCAGTAGCTTGCAGCAGAAAAGTGAATGGACCATGCCTTAAACTACGGCGCCATGACTCCCCAGAGGGAAAGGGTGTTGCTCCCTTCTGCCTTTTTCCCCCCTGGCAGCAACGTGGCCACTGCCTCAGAGCTTATAGGAAAGCCAGGTACAAGCCGGCGGTGACAGGGCAACTGCAGTCTCATGGGAAGGGAGCTGGTACTGGCACGTTCTTCATGCCCTACCGAGGTGACGAGTTACCCCCGACAAGCGGCTCTCCGGCGGGGCCATAACACACACAGACACACAGAAACCAATCTCGTATTTATCTGGCTCTTTGCAGAAATCCAAAATCGTGGTCATGTGACATTATGTGATTCTCATAACCAGCTGTAGAAAACAAAATATTTCACAATGCCTTTTCAGTGATTCTGGTTGTTTGGGGGAAAATTCTAAACAATAATGGTGCATCTTTTGTCAAAATAATGAATATAATTAATGTAGAGAAGAGTTAAGTGGAAATCATCTGCTTCACAGGCATTTGGAGAGGTGGGAGGGGGTGTATACTGGGGTACTTGGTGGTGAAAAATGAGTACTGGTGAAGGGAAAGGTGTTTGATCATTGTATGACTGAGACTTAAACCTGAAAGCTTAGTGACTTTTCCCACAGTGATTCAATAAATAAATATAATTAATTAATTAATTAAGGTGGAGTTCATGCCCAATTCAATCAGCTAATCAGTGGCTGAATAAATAGCAGCACTCCTGAAAAAAAACAAAACAAAACAAAACAAAAAAAAAAACCCACACGTGGTCCCAGAGATTAATGTGGGCTCTCCGAGAGGGGCGGAGGAATCGAACTCGGGTCGGCCATGTTGGCTGCGTGCAAGGCAAATGCCCTATCGCTGTGCTATCGCTTTATATATACCACAAAATATTTTTCCCCTGAAATTTAGTTTCTATTCTCTTGTCTCTCAACTCAGATTTAAAAGGGAAACTTTTCCACAGAAGACGGTGATACCAAGAAAAGAAACTGTGTTCAGTAAGTCCTTCTCAAAGGATGTTTGCATGTTACACGAATAGAAATTGTGGGACAGAGAGTGAGCTAAAATCATTTTATATCTTAGCAATTCAAATGAATCTAATTTCAGTACTATGTACTTTTTTGGCTAAAGTTCTGTTGGTTATTAGCAGCATTATTAGGCATGAAGTAAATGCTATTTAATTTCTTTAATGTTTTGCTTTATTTTTTAAAAATTATATATTTATCTTTAGTTTCTGCTTTTGTCATGCCACACCCAGGGATATCTCACTGTCCCTTCCTATCATTTCCCTCTCCTTTAAATTAGATGACTGTCTCACATTGATAGGTGGATAGTTTCCAAATATTTGTCAGACTACCTCTATCCAAATGTTGAGATCTGTCCTCTTTTATCATCTCTAGATTTGCCGATTCCAAATTCTTTCATTTTTCTCCTATGTTAACTTTGGGTTTATCTAGATATCTTTCTCAATTTTCCTGACTAATGAATTTCAGAATCTACTATTAAATTAAAATTTTTGGAATTAGAGAGTCAGTACAAAGGTTAGGGCAATTGT